AGGTTCAGGGTGGCGGCCGGGATGTACTGCCGCAAGGCCCTGAGTCTTGAACCCGTGCCCCTGCCGGCTAGACACACACACACACACACACACACACACACACACACACACACACACTCACACACTCACACACTCACACACTTACACACTCACACACTCACACACTCACACACTCACACACTCACACACTCACACACACATTGCAAGCGGGTCTGGAACAGCACAGAAGTCGCTTCAAAGGTGCCGCGGGAAAGTGGTTGGGATGACATCCTCTGCTGGACAGCGAGCCTACTTCGAGCATTGCGCTCAGAGCTGTGGTCGGAGATGGAAAGAAGCATTGAGCAAATAGAAGCCGGACAGACAATAGAGAGTGCTTGGTGTGCTTGTGCACTGTGCTGCCTGCAGCCTTCGAGAGACCCACCTACCCAGGCGGAGCATGTGGCGCACTTCTTCTCTGCACTGCAGGGAAAGCAGGTCGACAATGTAAAGGAGCTGGACGACAAGGCTTCAGACAGCTTTACTGCTGTTCTCAAGTGTTTCTTCCCGAGTGTTTTGGAGACATGCCACAAGACTTGAAGGCTGCCGATTGGCTCAGCAGACGGCAGCGCATGAAGCGCAGAGAGGTCTCAATATGTGCGGGGCCTCGTTCTGCTAAGCAGGGCTGGCTGTGCAGAGAAGATAGAGCCGAGCAGTGTTCTGCTCCGCATGTATATCACATACAAGCACCATGCCATGCCGCGCATCACAGTCGTGAAGAAGACAGTCTTAGAGCCTTCTGAATCCCAGAAGGTCTCGTAGCTCTAGAAGTGGCTCCGTCCGGAGGTACTGCCTGTTTCGTCGAGCCTTTGCTGATCACGTTTGATGCCAGTGGCTTTGGATCGGCTAAGGAGGCGGAGTGCAAACGGCTGTGCAGAGTTGGAGTTGGAGTTTCTCTAAATTAGGGTCCCTATTTTATAAGTCCCCAATATAGTACTGCACCCTTATAAAAAAGGACCCTAAAAGGGACCCTAATTTAGAGAACTACCCATATAATATGTTGCAGTGACAGCTTCAGAGAGGCCGATGGTCTCCTCCGAGCTCAGCTCCTTCACGACTTGGGCGGGAAGGCTCCAACTCCAGGGTTGAGGGTTAAGGGTTTAGGGTTCAGGGTTTAGGGTTTAGGGTTCAGGGTTTAGGGTTGAGGCTCCAGGTTTCCACAAGTAGTTTACCCGGGCCAAACTTTCACTGGTTGCTCGAAAGATTCGGAGTAGCTTTTTCTTTGGGGTGCGACATGACCCTGCCCGTACTGTTCGGAGGTTGTGCAGCCCGTATTGCCGCCGCAGTGTTGGATAGTTCTTGCAGTCTTGCAGTGGACGCTTGTCTCCGATCGGCTTATGTGACGCGGTCAAGGACGTACTCGTAGCAAGTAGGAGGTGTCGAGCCGTGATGGTGCTGCTGACCTTGGCTGCTGTTGCGGCCGGGACCGCTGGAGCAGGTGTGACGTGGAGCAGGTGCCTCCTTGATATCAGTTGCGTTGCGACTGTGTAGTGCAGTTATGTGCAGTTTTCGACTCTCCGGACGCGAAGCTGTCTTCGATTGGCTACCCGCCTGTGGCCAGGTTCAAAAGACCGATGAAGGGTCTCGTCGAGTCGTGGATCAGCAAGGCAGCTGCTGGTGCCCGGTGCCTCGAATGGAGGCATTGGATTTGTTCGGCCCTGTGGAACTTTTCTTCGGAGGGGCGGCTCGCATGCAAGCACCCAGATGCCAAGTGGAGAGTGTTGACTTCAAGCTGTGTGGCGGGGAGATGCACTTCGAAGTTTTAGGTGGGCGCCACGTCGCACAGGAGCGATGCAGAAGCCTCACTAGGTGCATGCGGCATCAGGTGTGGAAATCGGAAACTTGGCTCCCTGCATGAGCGACTGGATGCTCCGCGTCAAATGCGTGAACTTCGTGGCCTGAAGCTCAGCTCGGACGTTGGCTTTAGTCGTTCGTTCCAATGGGCGGGACACTTCTCTGTGGCTTTCCATCCGGTTGATAGCAGAGTCCATGTCCGTTCATAGTCCGGCTTCCGCAGACCTTGTCGCAAGTGCTCAGTTGGCTTATGATTCAAGATGGCTTGGGTACCCAAAGCAGAATGGTCACCCTAGGTCAACCTGACGAGTTTCATGAAATCAGGCCGGCGGGGGATGCTCATGTTCAACACTGCTTCAAGAGCTTGTGCACAAAGGTGCGAGTTTTGAGATTTTGACCGACAGCATTTCGACGAGTGAATATAAGGACTCGACCAGCTTGTCATAGAGGAGCTGACGTTGGTTGGCCTGGAGGTCACAGTGGAAAAGAGGCGAAATTCCATGGACAATGTGGAGGAGCTCCTGGACAAAATCCCACACAACGCGGCAGGAGGAAACTATCCGAACGAGGGAAAGCTTCTCATCAAGAAGACGCAAGCCCATAACATGGTTGTTCACTTGGTTCTTCCGATGCCTGACGACGAGCCCTGCACCCTGTCCTTAATGGGTCCATCGATCCACAGCACCGACCTCTCAGAGAGCCGCGGCGAAGCTGACCGTATGATCCAGCTGTTGCTGAAAGAGATCTTCGGCTCTGCTAGCCGAGCCGTGGCCTTGGTAAGTTCGCAAGAGTTCGGATCAGTCCTCGTTACACCAGCGAAGTTCATGCAGAGGTCGCTGGCATGCATGCGTCGCCGGTGACAGCTGAGGTCGTGTCAGATCCGGCCAAAGACAGCGCAAGCTCTGCAGGATCGCACCTCGGTAGAGCCAGGAGCACTTCCAATGCAGGAGCTTCAAAAGGGAGCACACTGCATGGAATTGTGCAATATTCGCTCGATTCTTTGTGTTTCTTCTCTGCGGATGTTTATGGTTTCTTCCAGCACTGGCTCCCTTCCAAGTAGAGATGGACTGAAACGAGTCCGTCCACTTGCAGCTCGGAATGAGCAACACTGGTTACCGAAAGCTGAACTTCCGCTGAACACTGATGGTTTCCGAGCCCTGCTACCTGCATCCGGAACGAAACAGTGTCAGCACGAATCACCATAATCCTGGTTCTCATGATATTGATACCATCCCAATATGTGCTCGATTGATGTTTCTGCTAAGAATAACTAAGTCAAATCTACAAATAGGAAATACATGGAATTAGATCCTTATAAGACGATGGAAACTGTGTACTTGCTCCAACGCAGGAGCTTCAACAGGGAGCACACTGCATGGAGTTGGGCTATATTCGCTTGATTGTTTGTGTTTCCTGTGTGCTGACGTGCTTTGTTTTTTGCACCGTTGGCTGCCGAACTTCTCTTCTAAGTGGAGACGGACTTAAATGAGTCTGTCGAATTTCGTTGAATTGAGCAGTACCTGCACAGAGAGCTGAATGAGTGAATGCTCAACACTGATTGTTTCTGAGCCGTAGTGACTGCAATCCGGCAAATAATTGCTTGACACGCGGAATGCAACAGTCCTGTTCTCATGATGCTTACAGTTTATGCTTCAACGCATGCAAGCGGGCACTGGGCTCGATGAACGTGGGTGTTGCCCGCGATTGCAACCTGTGCGGCACTGCTCTGGATGTCCAGGCAAGCTTCAGCAAGCTCGCGCGCCAGCTTAGTCGCGCACTCAGCAGCACCAATGTCGCTCAGGCAAATTTAAAAACTTGAACATCAAGGAGCCACGAGCACAAGCCAGGAGTGTAGAACAATTTTGGGGTGTAGCAGTGGTGGAAAATAAAATGGCTTGTAAGCAAATTTCCATTCCTGGTTTGTTCCTTGTTGTGAGAATGCTTGAGTTGAAGTTGATACAATGTTGTTGAGAGGAGTAGTGGAGCTGCCGTTGAGCTTGGAGTTCGTGGTATGCACGACAGGATCGGGAAGGCGATGTCTCTGCAACAACAGAAGCAGAGCACGAAACGCCGTGCATGTCGCTGATCGACACGATGATGCAGTCTGCGTTCGTAAGCGACTCATCTCGACTCGAGGTGTGAGCTAGGGTTGAGAGTATCCTTGAAACCTGTCCTTCCCAATCTTAAGTCATGGACACTTTAGGGTTTTAGGGTTTAGGGTTAATTCGAACGAAAACGTTTAGGCTGATGCTTTCAAAAGCTTTCCCTCCCTGTGTCACGATCGTGTGGTTTTCAGACAGGAGCACCGTGTCACGATGAACAGGGTCAGATGGCCTGATTGAGTTGGCAAGCCATGATTGATGAGGCATCTTGACCATTCAATGCCTTTCTTCCTTGCTTGACGAAGCCCGAAATATAGTAGCACGAAGTAGTGCCGAACAACTACGACGACAAACATGTTGGGATGCACATACACCTGAAATATTCCCGCTGCAAAATCCAGGTTTTGATGTCATACCTTAAACCCCGTGGGCTTGAATCAGTGCACAGACGATGCTGCTGTTCATCGTTGCTCCTTAAGTCGACTGCTGGTTGACACACCGACGTGTTACCTCAGTGACAGAGGAGGCCATAGACACTTCGGAGGGAGGATACCAAGACCCATGGTGAGATTATGTGAAACCAGACCTGCGCAGCTGATCGCAACGTGTCAAGCAACGACAATATTCGTCGAGGGTTCGAGGATCCAAAGCGCAAGCATGCCAGCGGGTGGCCTACGTCTCAGGCTGGAGCGAGGCAGAAGTTGCCAACTACTTTCAAAGCGTGGACGAAGGCTGCGTTTTCATTTCTGCTGCTGTTTTCTGTGTCGGAGAAGTGGAACAGACCGCAGGTGCTCCGCTCAGCATCTTGGACGGGCTCTTGCAGCCTGAAAGGCACCACAGAAGTCACACCCGTGCTGCCCTCCCCCTGCCCGACTTGAGAAGGTATCGGGAGCACTACTTCGACTCGGCGCGTGTATCGCTAACCGTTCCAGTTGCAGGCAGGTTGGCGTTGATGGATGTGCAGCAGCCTGTCGTGACACTTCTGTCCGCTCAATGATCCAACAGGGCCACCCCGGGAGCTTGGCGGTGAGCCCCTTGTCTCGTGGCTGGAGCCTGAAAGATTCCTACAGGCTTGTTCGTTCTGGCTACAGTTCCCCATGCACGACTGCAAAGGCTGATACCAGCCCGAAACTGCGAAGACTTCCTCCTTGACTGCCCCTCTGCGGCATTGGGTCTGCACTATGAGCGTGTCGTCAAATTGCCACAGTGATTATCATACCCCCATACCCCCAGAACCTTGGTCTTCCTATGAAGCCTAATCTCTTCCGAAGGTTTTCGCTCCATTGAGCACCAGGCCCGTGACTCAGGGAGAGCTCTTCCCGTCTCTGCCCTAAGATGGAAGGTTGGAGTGGCTCCCGGATGCTACGAAATTGTAGTGGTCGAGGACGGCCATCATGAGCCAGCATGAATGTGGGTAGTTCTCTAAATTACTGTCCCTTTTAGGGCCCCTTTTATAAGGGTGCCGTACTATATATTGGGGACCTAAAAAGGGATCCTAATGTAGAGAACTACCCATGTTAGCATCAACATGATAATCGGTGACACCGTATCCTGATCCCTCAGGACGCTTCCGAAGATGGAACATCCGCGATTTTGCAGCACTACGCAGACACGCGCCCGAATGCCGCTCTCTCAGGACATGCGTGCTCAGACTGCTGCAGTGCTGAGAGATTGAGAGCCCGCATCTTCCCGGCCTCTTTTCTGCAAAGGTTCGCATCGTTGATAGCAATGGAGTGTGCACGGCTCAGTCTGTTTCAAGAGAGAGACCCTTTTCAGCACTCTTTCCTTCTCCCGGAAAGCTTTGGATTGCTGGCGAACCCCATTTGGCCTGTATGTTGCATGCATCAAACATTGCAAAGAAATTACTTTATCCTGGTTGATATACTCTGCCGGAAAATCAATCAAGGCAACAAGGCGTGGCCGGATGCCTACGTGAGGGCTGGGAGCACTGCCGGGGTCGCTTTGTGGCCCGCCTGGATGCAGACGACGAGGCCCGGTGGGGGGCAGACCTGTGCACTCAGTTATACTCGTAGACAACCCTAAGCCCTAACCCCTAAACCCCTAAACCCTAAACCCCTAAACCCTAAACCCTGAACCCTAAGCCCGGTGAGTAGAGGCTCGCTGTTGGTGCAAGTTGACTGAGATCTTTCGCCGAAAGTTGGGGCTCAGGCTGATCTCCAGCGGCTGTCGAAGCAGCTTCGCTGCTTAGCTCAAGCGAATCAAGGGTTTAGGGTTTTAGGGTTTTAGGGGTTTGGGGTTTAGGGTTTAGGGAGATTGCTCCTTCTTCTGCCTCGGTTAGTTGACATGTCAATGTAGCAGTTCGGGTGAGTGCCAGACTTTTTCCAAGGCTACATGGAGCAGCATCCGTCTGTGGCCTTCCCAGTTCACGGAGAATCACCGGCTGTCAACCTAGATCTCTCCGAGTCTCCAGGTCTCCGTGCTGGGTGGCCGTCACAGATCCTTCTTCACAGAGCACCGCAAGTTCACAGTGGAGCGAATATCGAAGAAGGAGGTCTGAACCGACGCAAGAGAACTCGACTTGTCAGGCAGCAGCGCATGATGTGCTGCACAAGCATTGCTTCGCCCTCCAAACAAAAGTACAAGCTTACCCCTCATAGAGCCGTTATTGTCGCCTATCGGATCCCCGCAGAAACCAGCTAAACCCGAAACCTGAAACCCCAAACCCCTCAAACCCGAAAACCCTTGGACCAGGATGGCCGAGTAGTAGCCGCCGTCTGGCGGGAGCACGGACCCCAAAGCAGGGTATACACTAGTATGCACACCTGTGGGGCGCTCGCAGCTGCGCATCATGCAGCTGCGCTTCGGCCCAGCTTTCCCGCCCTTGTCATACTCTAATCCATGCATTCTCACCCCTGGATCCTGCATTGGTTGACCACACACACACACACAGTTGCACGAGCCGATGAGCCTTGTGTGGCTACAAAGCTGTGCAGTTTCGACCATCGGCAGGTTAGGCAGACAGTTTGCATGTGCAACTCAGTTCGTGAACTCCCCGAGGTTTCACGGGCAGCAGACATCTCGTGCGCGGGAGCAGATCTGCTTAGTGCCACCCCCAGCTTAGTGATGCCATGTTTGTGGCAAGTCATACATTCACGACCTGGCGATAAAGCCGAAGTCCCTTCGACCCTGAACCGTACACTCTTGCTACCAGGCTGAAAGAGGCGAGCAGGTGCTGGTCGTGGAGGGCCCGGCTGAGCAACCTGCCCTAACTATATGGTTTAGGTCTAGCGAGGTTCCAGGGCCAAGATAGAAGCAGGGCCAAGTTCCCTTGTATTTGTGGGGCAGGTACTTGAACTGCAGATTGCTACGAGTCGGCGAGGCAACGGTTCATGGTCCGCTCCTTTCGCAAACAGGGCTTCCCAGCACACGCCAGCCAGCCCGACGAAGCTGTCGAGGCTTCTAAGAGATGCGTTGTTCATCGTTGTTCCAGGAGTCCATGGTTCTTCATCCAGAGAGATGGCAGGAGGCCAGGGGGTCTGTGTACCGTTCACTTAGACATCTAAGGAATCAAGTCATCATGGCGCAGATCATCTTCTTCCTCTGAAATATCCAGATGCCCCTACTATGTCAGGTATCATGGTAAGAGATTCAACTCAGTGGCAGTATTACTTCAACAACAGTGATTTTCGTTGTTTTTTCTCAGTCTTCTTGTTACTGGTGCTGCTTTCGTATGATGCCGACCAGATGGCGACGATGACCACGACCAGCATGATCAAAAACGCACAACGACAACGGCGGGGCGACTACAGCTGCATTCGCAACCGCTACATCGGCTACGACGACGACGAGCGCACCTAGCACCACCATCACCACGGCCGCGACGCTGCGACTACTTACACAGTACTACCGAAGCGACGAAGACGACGATGACCATTGATTACCACTATGCTTACTTCCACTACCACCATGTACCCACATGTATCACCCCTAACCATCATCGCTGCTAACCACTCCGATAGCTCCCACTACTGCTGCTACTGCGACTGCTGCTTCTACTGCTACTGCCACTGCCACTGCCGCTGCTACTTCTACTGCTGCTGCTACTGCTACTGCTACTGCTAATGCTGCTGCTGCTGCTGCCGCTGCCCGCTGCTGCTGCTGCGATGGTGGTACTGGTACCGGCAACGATGACAATGATGACGTCGCCCACGAGGACGTCGGTGACAGCGAGGACTGCTTCTACTCGTTGTGCTGAGCTCGACCACTCTGCTACCACCACCTGCTCTTCTCACTCTGGGGTCGGTGATTCGGTTGATGGACAAAATTCTGCATGACCCAAAATATAGTATAGTACCATAAATCCCAAAGTTTAGGTATATAGGGTCATGCAGGATTTTGTAGATCAACCGTTTCCCAACTGTCTGGATATGAGAGAGTCGTCCTTTGCCAGGCTCTGAGTGCTGCACAAGGCGGCCGAGGGGAGGCCTGAGCCGGGGCGTCGACTCCCCTTTTTTTTTCACCATCCACTACTCCACTATGGGCTCCAGGGTTTAGGGTATAGGGTTTAGGGTTTAGGGTTTAGGGATGTTCTATGAGAAGATGTGGACAAGAAGACAGGAAGAGCAATGTGTAGAGTGTAGACTGTCTTGGACAGGTTAAGGACGGTTAATGCTGAACTACAGTCTAACAACAGTTCCTGTGCAGCTTCGAGCATGTAACATCAGCTGCCATAGGCTTCGGGGCTCTGGGATTGCCGAGGATAGCTTCCAGTGCCGGAATTGAAAGTAGAGGTCGATATATTTTGATCCACCGTATGAACTACGGTTTAGGCTTTGGGGCAGCAGACTGTTGATGGGACTTGTCATCATCTGCCGGCTGCAAATTGGGAGTCCTCACAGCTACAAGCATTTTGGACCTTGCTTGAAGTATCGGCCTTCAAATTCTTCTTTACCAATGGTAAGCCACAAGGCTTCTCATTCAAGGGCTTCCCCTGAGATGATTAAATGATGCACAGCGGATTGTATGAGTTTTTTTGATAAAGCCAAGACTACAGTAGTATGAAACCAAAAAGGACCAGGGCGAGCAGGGCTTTGAGCTTTAAGGTGTAGGGTTTACTTATGGCTAAAGGCTTAGGGCTTCAGGTTGAATTAAAGCTCAAAGGGAAAGGCTCAGGGGTTTGGGGTTTAGGGCTTGAAGCTAAAGGCCTAGGGCTGCGGGCTTAGGGTTTTAGGGTTGTAGAGATTAGGGTTTAGGGCTTAGGGTTTGCTCAAGGCTTGGGGTCAATTACTTACCTATCTGACTGACCTATACCCGGATGCCCGAACTCCCCCTAAACCCTAAACCCTAAACCGCAACATTAAAACTCGGCCCTGGCTTCCAATTTTCTATATGATGGAGGGCGCCTCTTTTGTATCAGTGGGACGTTATCAGATTCGACCCTAAACCCTAAACCCTGAACCCTAAATTTAAGCCCTAAGTCCTAAACCCTAAACCCTGAACCCTAAATTTAAGTCCTAAATCCTAAACCCTAAACCCTGAACCCTAAACTTGAGCCCTAAATCCTAAACCCTAAACCCTGAACCCTAAACTTAAGCCCTAAACCCTAAACCCTGACGTCTTTGAGAGGTTCTGCTTCTGCGGAGAGATCCCTTGGAGCCCGCTCAGGGAGGTCGATGGTCTCTGCCTCAGAAAGGATGAACCCGAGAGCTTCAATCAGTTTGGGCCCCCAAGTAATAAGATTTAGGGTTTAGGGTTTAGGGTTAGGGTTTAGGGTTTAGGGTTATCTTTGTGCAGTCTAGTATAATATAGAACAGAATAGTATAGTATGTTAACGTATGTTACAGTATATTTTATAGTATAATAGGCCCCAAGGGTATAATGATATGGACAATTCCGAAACGCCCCCTTCCTGGCGGTGTTGGCCATACTTTCTCGCGAGATGTGAAGAATCTCAAACATTTTCAGGATGCATCCCTGCCTCGTGCGGGCGGCCTCTCTGTTCGAGGACATTGGCCAGGGTTCAGGGTTTAGGGTTTAGGGTTCAGGGTTTAGGGTTTAGGCTCCCCAGCATGAGAAGTCCCGAGGCACTGCCCTGCCACTGCTCCTTCATCACAGGAGTGTGTGCTGGGGACAACGTGCCTCTTCCGCAAGTCGCACTTCGGTGAGGAGCGCGGTCTGCCAGCAGCAAGGTAGGAAATTCCGATGATGGTTCCCTCATCTTAATTGTAGCGGGCTCCTTGTTGAGAAGCCCTGCTTAGCCATAGCTGGGCTGAGCACAATGCATGTAGATTAGGGCATGGATGGCTGCCGACGCATGTTGCCGCCAGGTGCACAGGTAAAATAGGCAAACTGAAGTGCAGTTGCGTCAACGATCGTTGCTTGACCGAAAGTCTCTGAATTTCCGAGCACTTCTTTGTAGCGGCGCCATGTCTCGTCGTCCTGCGACTCGCCCTTGCAGGACTGCCCATTCAAGCGGGAGGAAGCAGAAAATCATTGGCTCTGGTTGGGCCTGGAGTCGTGCCCCCGAGCTCGCTAAGAATTTGTGCAAAACCTGTCATCCAGTCGAGGAGAACTCTCCTATGGGCACACAAGATGCCACACCAAGTTGGCGTAACCTTCCCAAATAAGCTTGGCCAAGACCACTGCCGAGGTCGAACCAACATGCCATGAACATTGCTGACGTCCTGGTGCACACAAGGCCATCAGCTGTACAGGGTACCTGACTCTACAGAAGTCTCTGACGCCCCGTACCTTGCTCTAGACATGGGCAGCCCGAATGTCGGCTCGAATGGCTGTGAACACATGAGAATCCATGCCCACCCATGTTGGCCTACATACACGGCGGTGCTTTGCTCGCGCGCAGAAGAGTGGCTATTCCAGTTCAGCAGCTCCTCCAGTGCAGGCGTTGCCTAAGGCAAGAAGATACGAGTTGACCCCGGTATCCTGCCTCAGCCGATTTAATCCCAAGCAGCTCATGCTGTCAATTGTCACGCCATGCCCGGTGCCTCACTTGGGGACGGAGCGTGTGCCGAGGCCAGTGGTCCACAAAGGAATTAACAACTGCATGAGGGTCGCGCATGTGCCTCTGTTTGTGTCACGACATGCCTGGACTTAGAAAGTGCCGTGCCTCACAGCTGTCTTGGCTCAGTCTGGACAGCGTAGATCATCGATCGATTCAAAGCTAAGTACAGGCACAGAGACAGCATGCGAACCTGCTGAAGGGGACGTGTAAGGAGCCCCAACCACAGGAGACTGAAGCTCAGGGACTTTAGACCACCAGCGGAGCCATGTCGGGTGGCTGTGGAGCCACGAGCATGGCCGAACAGCTTGAGCTGTTCGTGCAGATGGCCGCAGCTCCTCCGTTGAAGAAGAACCTTGCGTCGGAAGCCTTCACAACAGTTGAATGCGGGACCGACATTTCACTTGCACAGCTTGCAGATTGGGAAGAAATGGAGAGCGAACTCAACACGGACGACGATGCAGTGATCGATGAGAATTTCCAGCGTTACAAGGCCATGTGGGATGAGGAGAAGCAGCTCGATGAGGAGTTCGACACGCTTCGTGCGCAGCTCAAACAAGACAAAGCCTACAACCACAGGGAGAATCAGGGCCATCAGCAGAAAGTGAAGAAGCTGCAGCAGATGCTGCAAAAAGTGAAGAAGGAGGATGCCTCGCGCAAGAAGGCCTCGGAGTCCAAGGTGGGCAAGATCAAGGAGCAGCTGCAGGAGGAAAAAGTGGAGCTGACCCAGAAGCTGGAGCAAGCGCGGGATCTGAACAAACGGCTGAAGCAGAAGCTGGAAGCTCCGGCTCTCGTGGAAAGCAAAGACACAACCAAAAGGTTGAAGTCTGAGCTACATTTGTTGACAATGGCCTTTGCAGACGAACAAGGCAAGGCAAAGCTCCTCTGCCAGGAGTTTGAAGGCAATTCCGCTGTTCAACGAGTTCGTCAGATCGAAGTCGACCAGGTGACGCAATCACTCGAGAACTTGCAGAAGCGGCTGGACACTCTCAAGGCAACAGCATCAAAGCGTGCGCAGAAGATTCGTGACCTCAGCAGAAAGCGTGACGAGATGCTCGAGACGAAAGATGATGCGAAGGAGTTCGTTCGAGCTCTGAGATGCAAGCACAAAGTTGCCAAGACCAAGTTCGAGGACATGCAAGGCATTACACGGACTACCAGAACCCTGAGCAAGTCTACAAAATCCAGTCAAGTGGCAAGCAGCAAGTCTGATGAGATGGTCTGAGGGAGCCTGCAGGTGTAGTTTAAGCAGGTAAGTGCATTGCTCCTTCCCGAGGAATTCAGTGGCTCGCACAGGGAGCCCTTGTCTCACTCAGTGTTTCATAGGGAGGTGGACCCGCAATACTTACCACCGCGACACTGCCGAAAACAACGCAGCCGCTCACGAAGGCATGTGGAGAGTCGCGCAAGTTGTGCCGGAGATGGGATTTGGTGTGGCCGTGCTACTGATAGTCTGTGCATCAGCCTCCGTTTGCAGAGCCTGTGAGCCCAGCTGAAACGAGGCCGCCGCTGCCGGCTTCTTGGAAGGCCGGTGTCCACTTGCTGGCTACGGCTTGAGCCTTCAAGCGCTACAGTCTGCTACAGTCAGCTAGAGCTTTCAGGAAGCCTGTTTGCTGCCAGGCATTATGGCCCAAAGCAGGTCTGTTCTTGACATGCCTCCACGAAGACAAACTGTAGCCACTCTACGCACAGATCTTCAGCCCAGTTGAGTTAAAACGTGATGATAGCACATTAGCTGGCTAACGCCAACAAGTATTCGCTCGAGTCGAATTAACTGATTCAGTGGTGCTTTCGCTCCGACGTGTGGTTCACGATGACGGAGCTCACGCCGAAGTCGCCGAGAACGACGGAGAAGTTTTCCCTGAAAGACAAGTCAGCAATCTCTCGAACTCGGATAATACGGTGCCTCGGTCCGGTCCAGCTTCGCACAAGCTGTATCAAATCAGCTTCGGGGGGCCGTCTAGACTCTAGACCCACCTGCCAGCCTGCCCACCCCGCCACCCCCCCACCCACCCACCCACCC